AAATTTAAGTAACAGAAAGAATTTAGCTCGGAACAACTGGTGTTTGGAAAGTTTCAGGTGTGGACAGGGATTTTGCGTTGAATTTACTGTGGAATTTATAAGAGGAATTTTTAGACGATGATTTTATGCATGTTTGTGTAGTTATCCACTCATTATCTCATGACGCACGGTCAGCTCCATCTCATCGTTCTCATCACGGGCCACAAATGGCCACCAGCCTTTCACTCTCTTCTGTTTGAAGATGGAGATGGTGGGAAGCTCCTGCTCATTTCGGATCATGTCCAGGGAGCACTGCTTGGCCGTCTTGGCACCGCGGGGGAAACGGTTCAGGTCCAGCTCAATTGCACCTGGAGTGTGGTGATAAATGAGGCAGTCAGACAGTAAGAACAGAGATTGGAAAATTCTGCTGACAACAAGCAGTGAAAGACAGAGAAGGTATAATTGCTCCCATCAGTCCTCACCCAGGAAGTCATCTGCAGAGAAGTGGTCGGCGTCCCACACCTGCATCGTGAGGCGAGGAGGGATCTTGTATTCGGTCTCGTCCCAGGAGAACATGGACTCTTTCTTAGAGATGACGATCTTCTCTTCAGCCATGAGGTAATCGAAGGGGTAGACGAAGCGCCAGTTGAAGTTGCCCTCGCCGGTCAGCGAGTGATAGTGCACGTCTGTGTCCTGCTTGTCCTCCTGCTGCCCCTTCAGCCACCTGCGGGTCAAAGAGGTCAGAGCTGAACTTTAGGAGTTTGTTGAGATGAGTGAATAGATTTAAATCTTCAGTCATGCACTTGTAATGTCTGATATGGAGGAAATTACACTGGTCTGTCAGTTGCTGTATATTAATTTGGTTAATTTAATAGAACAAGAGAGATGATGCTAATAGGTCAAAATCAAAACACATCATGTGACTTTCCAACAGCAAATCAGATTAATACCTGTGTGTGTTTGTGTGGGATATTATGATAAATGCACTTGAGCAAGACATAAAATCTGATTTGATGTTGGAGCGTCACACGATGTTTGAAGCCATGCACACACAAAGCTTGCAGAAATGTCATTAGCGGAAATTGATCAGATATAAGGCTATGAGGTTAGTTCCACTGGAGCTCCTTCATTTACAGTTGAGTGAGGCTGGCGAGGAGCAGGAGGAAAGCTGCACTCTCAGTTCTCAAATCATAAAGATAATCGTCAGAATAAATCCTGGAATAATGTGAAAGAATGTGCCATGATTTGGAAACTGAGACGCACTGGCAGACATTAGGCTGCAGTGAGGGCAAAATGTCACTGACAACATGCCTGAGCTTGTCCGAATGAACTCGATCGTCACTTCTGTATTACTGCACTGGATCCATTTGAAACAACCCCAGCTCCTCTACCTTTACAGTCACAGCTGGACATTTGGTTCAGCCGCTACAATCTACAGCACATTCGATTTCTAAGATACTTTGTCATCCTCCAGGCGTTTAGGGTTGTTTGAAGATGCCACCCTGTTTGTTACAGTAACGTCCGAGGCGACACATCCACAGGTGAGCTGAGGGAATAGTGAGGCTGGTTACGAGATGCAGGAGTGAAGTGGCCCCACAAAAAAATACCAACATCATTACCTTGAAATAATAATCACATACCCAGGCTGCAGAATGACAGTGTTGTAAAAACACTGGAGTTCTGTCATGTAGGCATGCATGTAGTTTGCATGTACATTATTCTTCCATGCAATCAGTTTCTATTATTTTTAAAACATCTGTATTTAAATATTGTCTGGTAGCAACTGCAGCACAGGACCAAACCACAAAGATTATTACCTCCGCCAAGGAGAGCGTGTTTTTACTGTGTGTTTGTTTGTTTGTCAGCGGGATTACACAAAAACTACTAGATTTCCATAAAATTGGAAAATTGGAAATGGTAGAAAGATGGGACATGGGTCTAAGAAAGAACCAATTCAATTTTGTCAAGAATCCGGACAAAGTAGCGCCATTTTTGGATATTGATGGATTATAAAACAAATTGTGATGTGACCTCTGCTGCTCGTAGTGACGACCACACAGACTCAGTTTCTCAGTTTATGTTAGAGCGATTTTGGCCATGCACATACATTGTTACCAGTGCCAGGGAGGTTATATTTATGTTTTTTGGTTAGTTTGGTTTGATGAAGCTACTGGACGGATTACCACCAAACGTGATAGAAGGATTTTTTTCTCGGGAAAATGTTTATGAATCTTGATGAAAACAATCTTCTTATCTTTAAGTGTGTGATGCAGTTTGATTTAGGGGACATGTTGGGCCTTAGTATGGGCTCTACTTAGTGTCATCCTAGTTTTGGTGATATGATTAGATTAGATTGAGTTCTTTAAATTTGTAGTTTATGTGGTTTAGTCCTTACTGTGCAAAATTTCCATTCGTCATTAGTTTACAGCGTGCTGATAGGAGAGTGTGAGACAAGCCAGGTAACGTGCTACGTGACGAGATAAAACAGGGGGAAGATGATAAAGAAATGATTGAAGGGCTTCAGGGGGAGGGAAAGAAGGGAGGTAGTTATACGAGCCATGCGATGGGATCGTGTGTTTACCCCCTGACATAGATGTCAGACATCTTCTCTCCTGTCATGAAACCATCGTCTTCTAGAATTACGTCATCAGTGTTCCAAATAACAACACGAAGCTCAAAGCTGGACACCAGCAGAGCATTGACCAGAGAAGAGAGAGAGGACGACAGACACAGACAGACAGACGAGGACACACCACAAATACGCACACAGAAAAAAATGGAAAACAAAAAAAAAAAATGGTTAACAGCAAAAAAAAAAATCCACACACAGCTCACACCCACGGGACGAGGCTTGGCTGCCGCGACCCGCTGTACCTACCCCCTGACAAATATGTCACTGGACTTTTCCCCAGTGAAGTAATCATCGTCCTCCAGTATTACTTCGTCTGTATTCCAAATAATCACCCTGAGCTCATATCTGGTAAGGGGGGGGAGGAAGGAACACATACACACACACATAATTGGACTTACTGTACATTTGACAGTAAATGAATAGAGCTAACTTGTCAAACTGACTCACCATAATTTAACCTGGGGATAAAACTACCAATTCTGTTGGAAAAACTACAGAAATGTACAAACTTTGCATCGTAATTAAAACATTTCTCATTTAAAATGCACTGATTTATGCTTTTCTCATTACCAGAACCCTAATTTGCTCCTGACATTTGCTTCAGCTGTACCTCTTTGGTTTCCGTGGAGCTATGTCAATCGCTGGTCCAGGAGCAGGCATGTCCATAGCAAACATATCGACCCACATCTCAATGCGGCCCTGTAGAAACAAACAGAGAACAACGCAATGTAATTGTCGCTTTAGTCTGTTTGATTCTATTTATTTTATTCTCTCCTACCTGTTCGATGCCGGGCTTGTCGGGGTTCAGCAGGGGTCTGGTCTCCACGTGCTCGGGGATGAGTTTGCAGCCCACTCTCGGGATCTCCTCCCAGTGGTTCAGCACTGACAGAGCCAAATGCTCCTCAGTCTGCTTCTTCAAACCTGAAGGATCGATACCAATGGAGGGGGAGGAAGGAGAGAAACAGAAATCAAAACATTGAATTTCTTGAAGGGAAAATCTAGGGAGATAACTAACAAAGAATGTGCAATGTTTGCATTTCTCAAAAACAAAGTCTCCCTGACTGTGAAACACAAAACCTCCAAGATGACGGCATCAGCAGATTTGCTTTGTAGCCAGTTGATTACAAATACTGTAAATAAAATAATGCTTGGTCTTATCGGTACATAATTAGTTTGACAGTAAAACAGTGATATTTTAAGTATAATTTATGCAGCTGTACCGTTCTCATCTTCTATCTCTGTTGGTCCCAGGAATATTCGACTCGCCACCTTGACTTTGCCTCCAGGTCCGTAATGAGGTCCATCGATCTTTCCGTCCTTACAGAGCTTGGCCAGGATCTGACTGGGCTTCAAAGGGTCCCGCCACACATTGTATCCGTGGCTGACATCAACACATAACAAGAACGTTACGTAGTCTCAGTGGTCAGAAAATTAATATAATAATAATATGCATAATAATCCAAGGACAATCTCAAGCCTTGTTTACAAAAAGCTCCCACATAACTGTCACCTTAATACATTTATAAAATACTAAGACAATTGTTGAGAATTTTTACCCTTAACTTCTAAGAAAAATTATTTTTCCTATGATTTGCTTGTATTTCTTATCTTTGTATTTGCTGTGTGTTAAATAATAAAGACATAAGACAGATGCTCACAGAGAGTAGTTGGATGAAATGCCACAGGTGGCTCTGTATTTGCTGTAGAAACGATTCTCCAGGTCGATTTTCGTCTCTCCGATCAGGTCATCAGTGCCGACCAAGTCCCAGTCGTACACAGACACTGTCAGCATGGACTCCATGGGGAATGTGGCCTCGATGTCAAATGATCTGAACAGGGATAAATGGAGGGAGTGGTGGATGGGGAGAATTAAAAAATGATCAGATTCTTACTTCAAAATACTGCTGCACAAAAATAACAAAACTTGACAACAGAGAGAGAGAAATAGTGTTTTGTCAACTCACTTGCCAAACACAGGATTGAGCTGTTTGGAGATGTAGTTCTCTTTGTCTTTGACCTCTGACTTGCCCAGTTTGATGACAACGTACGGATCAGCCTTCCCATTGATATCAGCAGGATGAAGATCTGTAGCCTGAGAGGAAAAACAGGATTAAACAGAAAAGAGAGAATATTTACCTGATTCTATAAATCATGGGGGTTTTTTGAATTCACCTGCTAAATATTAAAATGGTGTAACGGCAACTCACCCTGACCACATAGACACGGACGAGGACGTTGATTGGATCGTTATGAGGAATGCTCTGGAACATGCCCATGTTAGGATCAAATCCTGCCTCTCTGGTGATCTCCTCCGACAGAGGCAGCTTGTACATACACAGGGATCCCTGGGTCGGAGGAAACAACAGACTGAGATAACTTCTTTACAGTCTGTCACTCTGAGACAGCCTTTATCTTCTTACTGTTTTCTCACTTTGAATCTGCCGACAATCCTATCGTCATCCAGAGCGTGCTCGTCGTCGTCCCCAGCTTTTCCTCTGTACAGGTTGAAAGTGTGAAGCCAGTCTTCAAAGTTGCCGTACTCACTCTCCAGCTCCTTGTTGTAAACCTTCAAGGGACATTAAACACAGAGAGTGTGAATACTAATGTGTGTGCTGGTTAGATTTTGTATTGAAGTATGTGAAGGTCGAGTCAATGACACTCACCATCAGCTCGTCTACTCTCGCTTTAACTGGTCGTTTCTCAGCCCCGTCCCCAGCCTGACTCTTCTTCTTGTCCTTGGAGCTCTTCTTGTCTTTGCTCTTCTCTTTATTCTTGGAGCCTTTCAGAAGAAGGTCATCGGGTTTGATGTCTGATTGGATGGACGGGTGAGTGGGGATGGATGTGGACAAAGTAGGGTTGGAGTCATGAGGAATGGCGGCAGGGTTGCACACGTCACTACACATGTCACTACACACGTCACTTAACATGAAAGCTGACAGGTATGTCAGGGGTGTAACAGCTTCCTGGATATGATTTTGGAGATTAAGTCCAAAACAAAACAGTACCAAAAACCCTCTTCAGTGAAATTCTTGTTGAAGATAGTAAATAGAAGTGTTAGAAAGATTTGAAATGTTTTCAATAAACCACCGCTGCATTTGACAAAGTCACTGAGAAGACATCCTGCCAAATTTCAGCCTCACATCAGAGAGCACAAACTAATGTCGACCATCTTCTCGATTTCTCACAGTCTAGGCTACATTTTAATACTGAATTTATTAATGTTTATTCTTATGCTACAAGTAGCACCTTCAAAGAAGTTTTATAATTGCCGTCCAAAAGTAAATTATTAATGCTTTCTAGTAATCAAAGTGATGCTAGTGCAGAAGATTACTTCAGTGATTCTGTGTCAGCCAACTTTCATGTGTAATGCAGAGCTGGGAGGTGATGCTAATGTGGAAATGGTCATGAATGTTCAAAGTTCAAAGCATGAATATAAGATGGAGCGATGGGATGAAGGAGGCGAAGAACAGGAAGCACATACGAAGCCTCTGCCTGTTCTTTGCTAGATCTTACAAAGAGCCACGTCTGAAATCACCATGTTCACTCATTCACCACCTCCTTCATAATACATACTCATAGAAAGCAACACATTTTGTTGCATCTCAAATGGGACACAATGAATTGAGCGTTTGTCAACAGAAAGTAGTGGACAAACAGTGGACACCGCTTCAGCCATAAGATTCTCATTTCATTGCTAAAGGTCAATGCTATATAATTCTTTACGGTTTAGGTCTATTTTGTTAATTTAGTTTCATTCTCTTTAACCTAATCAGCAGTTATTATTTTATTTTCTCTCTTAAAGTTTTGTCATTAGGAAGCTGGATAGATAACAGCTGAATGAAATTAAGTAATATCTCTGTGAGAGGACACTCTGACTTTCTTGGTGGAGGATTGAAAAGACAACAATGATTTAGCGAGATGAGCCAAGGTTAAGATTGAGAGTAGCTGCAAATGAAGATGGTATGTGGCCACTGCGACTTGGGGTGATTATTATAATTATTTTTGCAAGGACATCTTGGATCTAGTGATGGAAATATAACTGTTCATATTATTATTATTTATTGGGAATAAATACTTCTGCTTGAGACGTCGTCTGCCTTCCCTCCTCCACCCTTCAAGTTTTCCCTCACTGTCACAATAGCTGACATAAGTTTAACTATTAATATTTTTTCTCTGTTATATAAAGTAGAGCAGCTTTCTAATATTACTGCATGGTATCAATTCAAAAGACATAACAACAAAAAGAATAATTTTTCGCAACTCTAAGAAAGTACTTGAATATGTTCTCGTGCCCAATTTACAATCCAATACTGGCAACATCTCCCAAGCAGCAGACATAGAGGCACACTGTCGGACCCTGTTTGATTCACTAGAGTTCAATACCTGCCGCCTCTGCAGCTATCTCCAGGTCCTCTCTCTCCTCCGCCTCTGCCTGAGCTGCCTCCTGAGCTCTTAGGGTCTGGAAAAACCAAGCGAGAAAAAAAGTTTTACTCTCAAATCTCATGAGCAAGTCAATCCTGTGAGATTAGACTAGAGCAGGCCCACCTCCTTCAGCGTCTCTATCGAGGCAAAATATTTGGACCACCAGTCCAGCACGCTCTCATCCGTCTCTTCTTCTTCCTCGACTCCTCCCTTCTTTTTCTTCTTCTTCTTCTTCTTCTCTTTGTCGATCTCCTCTTCAGTCTGTTAAAAAACACTAAGGTGATTCTCAGTAGCTTCAGGTCTGATCAGACTGAGCCATCAGAGGGCACATTGCCAAATTTCTATAGGAGCGATTACTCACCATGTCAACTTTTACAACAGCATCAGACATCTATTATAGGGGGCATTACATAAAACAACACGAGGGTTAATACACACAATGGACGATGCAGGTAGGTGTAGCACATGTAGAGAGGACTGGACATAAAGCAGCTCTACAACTTCCAACATTAACATATATAAACACACAGTTTACTATAGAAATGAGCAGGCAGTGCTTTACTATACATGATCTAAAGACAAGCTTACGGCATCTAACTTGACGACTGTGTCCATCTTTCGGGCCAGAGGTTCAGCGTCCAAGTTGACGATGATGTCACCTGCGGGGCGAGAGAATGTGCGGGAGGAAATGCTGGGTGAGGAGCAAGGCTGCGAGCCACCATTTGCAAGGACCATGTAGCCGTTCATTAGCTTAGCTGGAAGTGAGGCCGCAGGGCAAAGACGGCAACAGGTGGAAGCAGCAGAGGGCACAGCCAAGGACATGCAAGAGAAGATGAAGATGGAGGGAGGAAGAAAAAAGTGGAAAAACAAGCAGAGAAATCATCAAAGTTAATAAAGAATGAAAATCCATTCTTTAGTGAGCAAGTTTAACTCAAACTCTAAAGGTAAAATTGCTTTTGGAAAGTTCTATAAAATCTGTAATATTAATTTAGAAGTTGCTTGTTTTTCACTAGGCATAGAGAAACAAAGAAAGTTATTACTGAAGGCAACTGTCATTAAATATTCAACATGTTTGTTCAGAAAAGAGAAACCCCAGCTGGGAGAACAACAAAACATTCTCTTTGCTAACTAATGACTATATAATTTCAGTTGAATGTCAGCACCTGCAGTGGCCCAGTTGTTGGAGGTCTTGTCTGGGGCGCTGTAGATGAAGCGTCTCAGGCTGGTGACAGCATGCGACCCAACCAGGATGTATCGGCCAAACGCTCGACAGTCCACCACCCGGATGTTGAGAGGAGGGTGCAGGAGCTCATTCTCTGGAAGGTCCTGAGGACGAAGACAGTAACAGCTAAGATGTTAGACCCTTCCAAGAAAAGTAAAGATTACCAGATGAATTTCAAGTCAAGTTTCATGGAAGTCTGCAGTTGTACTCACCACCTCAAACCATTTGACCAAGGTGCTGAAGTTGGGGTTTTTCTTGTAGTTCTGGATGAGAGCAGATTGGACACCTCTACCCGCACACTCTATATCCACACGAGGTCGATCCACCTGAGCCAAATTAATCCTCTTAAGGTCCCTTAACCCCCAGAACAAAACCTGAACGAGAAAAAAAACAGCAGCGGTGATGAAAGATCATCTTCAGAGATAAAAACACAAGTCGGTGGTTTAAAATCTCACTTCAATGCGGTAGCGGCTCAAGATTGGTCTGATGCCCAACGGCACAGGAAGAATGGGCCCATGCTCTGAGTCCGTTGGGCCCTCAAGGGGAGGAAGCTCAACTCTGCCTCCTTGGCCAATCTATATCAGAAAGAGTGGGGGGAATATAAAACAGGTTTTATTTATTGGATGTGTGTATCTGTATGGTGCATGGTGGTATGTGCACCGTACCGAATTTCTTTCCCACAGTCCTAATAATTTGGATTCATTTTGTCATTGCTCAATAAGACAACTTTGAAGAGGTGCAGAGAAAGTAAAAGCTAATGTCAGAGTTGGAAATTAGAGAGAATAAAGACTGCATTAGAAACACTGGCGACAGAGTAGCCAAAGATGTGATGGGAGGAAAAGAGAGAATGCAAAGACCACCTTAATTTGCGGTACAGCAAAGTTATGGACAGCGATGAGAGCTCGCCTGATCTCCTCCACATCAAAAGGTATCTGTAGGCAGCAGGAGGAGGCAGAGGAAGGAAATTTTAAAAGCGAAAGAAGGATTATAAGCATGTTAGTGGATGGAAAAGGATGAGGGGGCTGTGGGCAGAGGAAACGAAGGGAAACAGTCATGTAAAAGGTCAAGAGGAAATGTATAGTGAGAATAAAGAGCAAGTGAAGAGGAGTATGGCAAAGAGCAAGAAATAAACTAGTAATGGAGCGAAAAGTTTTCAAGACAAAGAAAGGAAGGCCGTATTTTTGTTTTTTTGCATGCTACATATCATTCTGAAAAGCACACTCCCTTAATTATCTACAGTATGTGGTTTACTATAACTCCCTTTCTATGAAGTAGTGAAATGCAATCTGTGTGTGCATGCATATGGAAACACACTCAATAATTAGTCTGTGTTTATTCATGTGAGTTCTTTCAAACCACACCTGCAGCAGTTCAAATGCAGCCAGGAGTTCCCCTGCGGTGCAGTTCCCTCTGTAAACCTGGTAGTACTCCAGCTGCGGCGGGAACCTCGGCGGGCCATAGTGCTCGTCACACATCTTGATGGTGGGCTTCGCAAACGTCCTACCTATGAACTCTGCCTTGCCCTGAACACCACATCGTGACAGGGGGCAGTCGAGACAGTCAGGGGGGACAAGGGAAGGGAGTTAGACATGAGTGTGAGAGGTGCTGGGTGCACGGTGGCCACTTGGGGTCAGTATTGGTCAGAGTGGTCGAAGGTTTCCTTTTTTTTTTTTTTAAGTGCATTTTTTTAAAATTATTATTTAGTGAATATTACAGTGAAATATAATAAAAAAGAGTCAAAAAAAGAGGAGTCAAAAAAAGAGGAGTCAAACAGAGACGCTTGTAAATATTTTCCAATAAACTTTCTACACCTCTGTTCCACACAAGCATCTCCACTGCGACACTGTTATGGCCACAGCTGCGACAGAGGAAACTGTTATTATAAATGGAGAAAAAGCAAAAGTGGAGAAGGTGCTTGTATGTTTTTCCTTAACTTTTCCAGAGCTCATTAGCAGCTGCATGAACCAAACAACCCACGCTGCAACAGCCACCAGTTTCTATTAGAATTGGTAATTCACACAGGCTTTAAATTACTAATGGTTTCACACTCTATTAAACCAGCAGCAGCGAGGTCAGCGTTAATGTGAGGGACACGGTGGATGAGTGAGACAAAGATGGATAGAACATGAGGGATGGAGAAGCAAAGCAGTTTTAGTTTTATGAGCGCAAAAGCAGTTTCTCTATGTTGCAGCCGTTCATTGACGCAGCTTTAGGAGCCTACCACAGTGTCCTGGTCAAAGATTTCAACGACAATGATCGGCGGGTCGTCTCTCAGCTCGCTGGCCTCCCCGAACAACTCCACATCGTCAAACACCAGCAGCTGGTCCCACGTAGGACAAAGGGTCTCACTCAGGACCTGACGAACACACACATCAATGCAGTTCACACAAACTCATAACACACTTTCACTGTTTGTCATATGAGCACACAAAATGTAAACACACACACAGTCATGCTCTTACCTCAGTGACCTGGCTGTGTGTGGAGAAGAAGACCCGAGCAAAGGGGTCTGAAAGGCCACTGCTGTCAGCAGCAAACAGACTGCGGGCCTGGTACATGTGTGCTCGCAGCTGAAAAACCTGCTTCACTGTTAGACACACACACACACACACACACACACACACACACGCACGCACGCACGCACACACACACACACACACACACCCACACAAACTTACAATCAATGCCCTCTGTGACTCATTTTGAAGTGAACCACAAAGTAAAAAAGATCGATTGAAGTCAAATGTCTTGAGTGAGTTTGTTTGTCTTGCCTCTGATTGATTTTAGAGTTTATTTTTAATGGTGAGCAAAGAGAAAATCTGATGAAATAGAGGGAAATTTATGCAAAACACTGAAGTAAAAGTTAAAGCAAAACTTTGTACAATAGTGCAGGAAACTAACTAGTGTGTCACCTGCAGAGCAGATGTGCCTTGCCTCATTTAGTAATTTCTTATGTTTACTGTACTTACTGTTGTAGACAAGGCTGACAGGAGGGACAGACTGAAGACTGGGGCCCATATTGGCAGCTTTAATCTCTTCAAAACCATTGGGCAAACCGCTGAGGAAGTCCTTTCTCTGCTTGTTGAGGCCCAGCCATAGATACAACTCCAGCTTAGCTTGCACGGTCCAACCTGCAGGACCAAAGCCCTTCTTACCAGGCAGCTGAGGACACAGGACAGACATGGGCACAGAGGAGGTTACGATTTCATTGCCTTTTGCCCATCTGTCAACAGGATTATGCAAAAACTGCTGAATCAATTCTGTTGGGACATGGCCCAAGACAGAATTTTGGGGTGGATCCAGGATTTTTTCCCCACTTTCGTAAACATTGCAAGACAGGGCGTTTTCTGACATTTTAACCAATTTCTCCAGGGAATAAAACATGGATCATGATGAAGCTAAAAAATACTGTAGAATTACATCCTCTCTTCAGTTTTATTACCACAAGTCAATCATTTAACACTGGAGACAAAGCTACAGCAAGGCCCAATCCATACATATTAATATTACCATTGATTTTCAACCTTCTCTCCTAGATTTATAAGTCTATACATTATAACACTCTTCAATACTAATCTTGTATCATGACTTCACTAATACTGATTGTCTCACTGTGCACTAAATAGCAAAGTCTAACTTAATCTTACATGGTTCCAGATTTTACAAGCAACTACAATAATAACTCTCTTTAGCAAAGTGTGTTTTGATGTGTGAAGCAAATAGAGGTTGAGTGAGGGAGTAGCGGGTAGAGCTGATGATACCTTGAGGAAGACGGCTTTGACTTTACCACAGTCTTTACCAGTTTCCTCATCCACTATGGAGTACAGGATGTCTTTGGAGGGAATCCGGGCATAAGCGATACGCTTGTTGTTACACATCATCCAGATGAAAACATCTGGTGTGCTGTGCTGAGGCTGGAGGAGATAAATATGCAGGATAGCATTAACCCCAGTGTCTTTCCCCAACTGTTAAATGGTGCACAGAAATGTTGATTCTGTACTGGTACATGTCGTGTACAGTTTATAGAAGCAGAGTTAAACAGAAGTAGATCTGCACCTCATCAGCGAGGAAACGGAGCTTCTGCAGGAAGTTCTGTGCCAGCTTGAGTTTGTCTCTGACCGTGTTCTTCTTCACCTGAGTCCGAATCTGCTTGGCCTGCTGACCCATGCTGTCCTGCAGGAGGGGAGATCAGTGATGATGATGATTCAAACAGTTGATGTTTCTCATATGATCCTTCAGACCTATTAACCTTCTCTTTCTCAGTCATTAAATCCCTGCTCATTTGAATTCTAAAAATGAGATAGCTTTGCAAATGCATTCCACAGAATTATATGAATGCAAATATATATTATAATTTCCAGTCTTTCCTGTCATTCTTTAATACAGTAGTATTCAGGGACTCTGCTCCTTTGCTCACACTATGTCTTTTCTTATCTATGTAAGAAAAAATAAATCCCACCATTTCCCTCATGCAGGACTTGAGCCGTTCTCGATCCAGTTTGGTTCTGCCTGCCTGGTTCACGTCCTTGTTAGCCAGAGTCACGAAGCGACTAGAAATGACCAGAAAATACAAAGCATGAGACACGAGCATGATTTGTGAATCAATCCTATAAACAGTATTCTTCTGTGATCCGAAAAGCAACATTTTAGCAGTGAACAAGGAACTGAAAGCAAAGAAAGAAGAAAAACATGAAACTGCTGATGCCTTTCACCATGACAACCATAATGACTTGTTTTTAGAGATACCACCGTGCAGAAAGCTGCTGTCTTGATGAAGAGTGCAGCTCACACTCTTTTTCTGGTTATTAATTACTCTATTTTAGCACTAACAGCTGTTTTACAAATGTCCCTGTAAGGAGAAGCTCTCTGTATCAGAGTCCCTTTGTCAGTTTTGATACAGGATCAATCAGTCAATTCAATCTCTTGAATATTATTATGCAGCTTGCCTGCAGCCAACACTGAGCTCCTCCAGCACTCCCCTGAGTCTGCGCTCTGGAAAGGCCTTCTCCGTCTTTATGACCTCCTGAACATCATTCAAACCCTCCTCCTGCATGGACACAGACACACTGGAGCTTAGCACAAAACAAGTTATTCGGACTCAAAGATAAAGATCCAAGACATATTTTACAAATACCAGATAACTGTTATCTGCACAAACCAGTACTACTCAGTAGTACTCAAATATAAGCATTGTATTTCAATTCTATGCATCTTAATACTTCTATCATCAACTTTTGTGTTGATGCTGCAGCACATCAGACTTATAACCTGTCCAGCTGCCTGACACGTGCACACTGACCAGCTTGTCAGCGATCTTGTCCATCATATTGGAGTTGTATAGTCGTCTTCTTTGGTCCTGCCACCAGCTCTTGATGTAGACACACGGCTTCTTTTCAAAGTAGGGAAGATGAAAGTAATTTCTGTAAAGATATAAGTATATATAAATATAATGTGGGTTTTTTAAAGGTTAGTCTGGCTTATGCTGTAAATAAATGAGTAAAACATTAAATTTGGAGTATCCTTTATCGCGCCTGTGACATTTGACCTCTGACCTGTCTGTGATGACGGGCCTCATAAGCGGAGTGGAGGAGACTGAGACCATGTCCCCCCCCTCGTCCGCCTCGTCCTCGCTCGAGTTGTGAATGAGCTCGCTCTCCTCCTCTTCGTTCTCTGCATCTTTCTTCTTTTTCTTCACTGATGAGGGCTTGCTTACACCATCTATCTGGTTGCCGTAGTTACCTGTTACACAGCAGAGCATTACAGGCTGTTAAGGTGTTTGCTGTTAAATCTCTCTGTAATACTCACAGAGTGGTGGCCAATAATAATAAGGTTAGATAAGCTTTTTATTTACCTATTGTAATTTCGAAACTTATCGTTTTGTCACCAATCTTCCTGTCGATCATGGTGGCCTCCAGGAAGGAACCGAAGAGGAAGAACTCTTCTATTTTCCCTGTGGCGCTCTGATGGAGTGGGAAGAACAGCAATAAACATATGGGGGAACATTTTATTGAAGCAGTGTGTGTTCATTTTATTATCTGTGTCTGTGGAGCGATTACTGTCTGTGGAGCTGCTTTATATAATCCAATGTATACATATAAATGCCCCCAGTGTCTTCACTGAATTACTGAGCTACTTATTTTGTGAGTGCTCTATTCTCTAACATATTTTTATTCATTCAGTATGTTTGACCATTACTGGCCCACACCTGGCTCAGATGCTGCATGTGTTGTACACGCAGAAATGTCCACACAGGCTGAAAACGACTGTAAATTGTCAGAGTGATTATGATTTGACAGGTGTTTGCTCTGGTTGCAGCTGCGTCATTTACAGTATGAGTCAGATAGCAACTACACTCATCTCCTACAAATAGACACAGGAATCCACATCATTGAGACACCTTTTAAACAATGAAGGGAGTAGATTTCCATTTCATCAAAATAATCATTTTTAGCTATTTTTCAAATACCGAACACATTAACTTTGCAATCTAGTTGTGACAATATTTCTTTCTTTTATAACTCTGAAGTCAGTTCATCATCATTTCCTGCTCTTTTAAAATCTTTTGAAATTAGGAAGACAAATGCACTTTTATGTAGTGTGACAAATAATTAAACGAACCCATGTTATATAACCCCCCAAAACAAACAAACCATAACTGTACTTTACAACTGGCACACAAATGACTGATCCCAGGGGAGACATTTACACCCTAATGGGCAAGAGGTCAAATAGCTGTCAAGCTTGCCCTGAAACATCACATCTGGTATTTCGGATTTCCCTGGTGAGCAGTTAACTACACATGTGCCAATACACAGGTCAGAGGAGGTCAAACAACTACTCTCTTGGATCACAGGTTGAGGTTACAGCTTTTCTTTGACTTTGAGTAATTCCATTGCATGAAACAAATACACGCACAGAAAAATCCCTACGCCATTTTAGCAGTCAGGTCTTCTCACCTCTGAGATGTTGGACACAGTCTCCACCTGGACATCAGTGGAACTGATGATTTCAGGGGAAGTGGTGTCCAGGATCTCCACGGCGACAGAGATCAGAAGTCGGGCTCTAAAGGACACTCCTTCTCCAAGTCCGTCATTCAGGTCCTGGTGCTCGTCCATCAGAGTGTACTGACGAGTGGAGCCGTACATGTTGACCCAGGCCGGGCCCATGGTGGGCAGGAACCCTGGAGACAGCAAATGGAAAAGAAGGAGATGATGTGATATTCTAAAAAAATCTTTATTCTTTTATTATATTTGAAATTTGTCTGACATAAGCCATCGCAAATTTCTTATCCACTCCCACCCAACCAACAGATAAAACTCAATCGTTTACATATTTTCTGATGACAATCACAATCCTTCCTCTGGGGGTTTTTATTTTTATCCAGATGATTTAAAACTATCCCCCAAATCTTGCTGATGTTTTCTTTAAAAACACTTTTAGAAGTTTTCTCCGAGGAAGTCATTTCATTCATCCACATTTTAAGTTAAGTTTTCATTCTTCAATCAAGTCCTCTGATCTTATCCTCATCCTTCACTGTGCTGTTGTCATAACCCACTTTGAAGAGATCACTATCAAATCCATTATCTCGGGCATTTCTATGACTGTGTTATCTTCACATTACAGAAATGTTTGAGTTTCTGTAAGTTTTCATTAAAAAACAGAATAGAATTCTGTGGCAACGCTCGAAACCTTTTCTTCAAATGATATAAAAACAGCCTTTAGAGACACAAATGTAACATAACTTAATTCCTCTTAATGTTTCATGCAGTTTGGTTTAATTAATGCAAATGTATGTATTGACTCGCAGTCGATTTGAATGTCATCCAATAAATTCATACAGCCATTAGCCGAAGGTCAGTGGCTTGATTCACAATCTAGCTCTGCTAATTACTACATACAGTAAAATATTAACTAGTTAAGTCCTGACTAATTAATGTACCTGACAGCTACTCAATGCTAGTAAGACAAAGTGCTGACATGCTGCCCTGTGCATTTGTTTCACTCACCTTTATCACCATCATTTGATATCTTGCGTAGGTCAATAAAATGGGTTCCTATGGCAACGTCGTTGACCTTATCTGAGTCTCGAATCTGGATCTTCAGGCGTTTGCAGAGTGGAGGGAAGAGTTCAGTAAAGACGACCTGCTCATTCCAGATCGGTTCATAACTGCTCTTCTGGACAGAAGTTTTCCCCTGGAGAAACATGGAGGGAAAACACTTTTTGATTCACTTCCTTTTAGCCTGCTCCTCCGTCCTCTCCTCCCAGGCTGGGGCTACATGCAATCCACTCTCCTCCACACACAAACACAAGTAACAACAGCTTGAACTAGAAAAGAATAGAGGACAGCAGGAGGTGGAGGGAGTTACTTTCTGCCCAGCAAACTGCACTTGAACGTAGGGGTCCACCAGATCTCTGTTCTCTCCTATGAAGGCCTTTTTCACATTTGCCATTATGCTGGTGTTCATTTTAGGAAGTCCCTCTGCACGGTAGATCTTCACATAAAACCTTGCCCACTGCCTCTCGGCTGGGATGCCCTCTGGGAGCAGGAGGTTTCTGGAAGACAAACAACAGCAAGCTCTCAGTGGGAGACAAGACTAAGTTATAATATTTAATTTATAGCAGACACACTGCCTTTTTTCTAAATCAATCCAATTTGATCATCGACAGCTCATTACCCCTCTACGTCGTCTTCATCAGTCTCGTTGGCCTTATGTGGTGTCTTGATGTTGTCACCCTTTCCAACCACAGCAATGTCACACTTAACATATCCTTTACATCCAGCTGTGATGTCATCAGGGTCAGACAGGATGGCCCACTTGTGGTAGAACTGGTGTTCTGGAGTAGATGTCAATATAGCCCCCCCAAAAAAACAAGAAATATTCTTTTGTCAGTTTACAACAAACTAAAATCAAACTTTAATATCAATGTGAAAAAAATCTACTCATACAAGACAAATCAAACATGCGCACACATGCTATCAGCAGTCATTATCATCAGAGCTACAGTTTGTACCAGGCTGAAAGTAAACTGTCCCAACATCCATCTTAAATGTTCCCACCAAGGTCCCACTCCGAAGGAGGTTTTTGGAGTGAATCACCTAATTAGACAGAATTAAGGATGAAGTATTAGCATAATGTTCAAACGATCATTGTATTAAAGCACATCATCATAAATCATCATAAATCATTCATAAACCTGTGAGTGCAGCTGGCTATTTACATAATGGTAAGCAAGGGGCTGCATGATTTCTTCAACATAACACATTTATCACAAGTGACTCTCTGGGAACATCATTTAACCTCATTAATGCAATAACCAGCAATATCACTTTATGGGTTTACATCCCAAAGGACTGTAACATCTACTCTTCCCCTTTTTACCAGGTATTAAAAGTTAATATTAATTTCAGCTATATTTCTGCAGCAAACTGCTCTGAAGCAGAGACCTAAACTAGCACAGTACTCACTGAGAGCTTGATGATCTTGTCAAACATGACATCAGGAGGAACGTGGAAGTCAAAGACAAAATACTGCAGAAGAGAGAGAAAATATTTTTTCACTTATTCTTCCATGAGAAAACACTTTTGTTTTTGTTCTGCGAGTGAAATGTGCGAAAACAGTTGTTTGAGGATAACTTTGAGGTTCAGTCAACAACCAATGCAGAGTTCACCTGAGGATCTGATGCAACAAACAGAAATGTGATCTTTTCATTAATATATCAGCCTCACAGGAGATCAGCTGCCTTTTGAAGGGGAGTGATTTATTTATTTTTGATGATGTGCAGAAAAGGTCAACATTGGAAGACCCAAACAGAGGAGTGAATTTTTAAGAACACATATTTTAACTTCAGCCCCTCCAGGTTTCAATCCTTTAGATGTGGAGATGAGAGGCTTGAAAAGACATGGATAATTCACACGTCTGCATCTAAGACTTTCATGCCTTTGCAGTAGTTAATTTTACATAATGCAGCTTCTGTTCACCTCGGTCAAGACATAACTACGGGCTAGAGAACCATGTCCCCTTAACCCACAGAAAAACAAGTGAAATACTTCTAAGGCACTGAACAAACTGGTGTGTCTCAGTTCGAGGACAGAGAGATTGATGCTTATCTAGATTACTCTTGTTTCCAGGTTTTTCTGCCCGCGGGGGACCTTCACACAAATAAATCGATGGGAGACAAACCTTCACATCGCTCCCAGCAGGACACGGAGCTGAGGCTGTGAGTTCTGCATAATTCTTATTACTTTTGACTAACAAGAGCGATTCCTCTGCTGTCGAGGAAAGTTTCAAGTGAAGGCAAGAAGTCTCGAGTTAAGAGCCATATGTAGTATTTTAAAATAATGAAAAAAGACTAGCTCATCAATGAGAACAACGATGAATACCTCTAGGACACTCTAGCTCCTGAGAAGATAAAAAAGAATGTATTCACTGACACTTTACAACGGATTCTACACTGTAAAATGTTTTTTTGTTTTTTTTTACCTATGATGTGTTAAAGCACATTGAGCCACTTTAATGTCTATGACTAGAAAACCACAATGTAGAAAATCGCATCAGTGATTCCGACATTCAGAGGTCAAAAGGAAGGTAGTTGTTATTGCATGAATTATTAATTATTCGCTTTCTTGCGGAGAGGACTTTCTCACCTCATTGTAGTATGGGCAGTTGGTGGACTCCTTCATGGATGTGTACTTCTTGTCGTCTCCAATCTCCACACACACCACAGGGTCCATGTTGAGGCCTATCAGCTGCCGAGCCTCGATCACTGTGATGCTGATCTGATGGGAGAGATCAACACATTAGATCTACAACAAACGGACTTTTATCACTAATCACACAACTGCACGGTATTTACCCTGTTGAGTTTAACACCTCAGAGTCAAACCATCCAAATTGATCTTTAACAAACTCTAATGAGGCTGATTCCAGGTGGTGAGGACTTTTCCTTCGATTTCCCTATTTCAAACTGTGATTTTACTGACTCTGAGAACGTTTTCAGATTACAGCAAAATCCCACAGGTTTAATTAGTCTTTTGATGATCAAGAGGAACAGAGAGAAACAAGAAAAATAGAAAAGAAAAAGTGAGGATGAGTCTGCAACTTACAATTACAACAAGACTCCACTTGACTGATGTATTAGTGTATGCATGATTTTAAGTTAAATAGGCCATGAAAATAGGCCATGAGCGCAGGCACAGGAGGATGTTACACTGGGCCCACAATTATTCTTTTCCTTCTTCTTTCTGATGTTGTAGTGAATACATTTAGTGTGGTAGTCACAACTGCTTTGATTGTAAAGAAAGACAAAGGCATATGACACAAGACACACACACACACACACACACACCTGATAATCCACTGGTCGTCCAGAGCCCGGTTCCATCTTTATATCTGGTTTTGACCTGAAGAAATACAAAATTAATGATTTTTCTACAGTACACTGACAGATAACAAGGACAATGATAGCACTGTGCTCTCTGCGTCAAGATGTGCAGTGGCATTAGCAGTTTCATATTTGAAAAACACATGCGTTAGAGTATGAATGAACATCATACCTCTTATTTGACACGTTAGTGGTGACGGCAGTGACAGAGGCCAGGGAGATGGTGTCTGGGTCAAGTGTTCCAGCAAGATGGATCGCCCTTCTGTCCAGGTCATCCATGTCTAGGACTGCCGGCTCATCTGGACAAGTCAAATAAAGAATTAAAACTAATACTTGGTGGAAAATTTAAAGGATTGTGCTACATTCTATGGTATATTCAAATCCACAAGTTTGAAGCCCATCAAAAATGTATCTGGTTTTACCTCCTCTCTTGTGATCGTCTTTAGAGCTTTTCATCTTGCCGAGCTTCATGGCTGAGAAAACTCCCTTCCCTGCTCTGGTGAGGGAGAAAGTGACAGCAGATAAGAGAGAAGGAGGAGAGAGGAAGAGGAATTGATATTATAAAGTGAATCTTTTGTCTGTTTCACTTTTATCCATCTTCAGATTAATCAACTTCATATATGTGTCTCATCGAGTCATATTGATTAACATTAACAAGTGCTGAACTTAAAACTCCACTGCCCATATGTGGACATATTCAACATGCAACCCAACACCACATGTACTGTCCATATATCATGGACATCTTTGTGACCTGGCTAGACACTTGATTCCAGTGGATCCCCCCCCCACACTGCTGCCAGTTCTCCAGACCCTCAGTCACAAGAGTATCCGGTGTCTCCACATTGACATCATCTGGATCACATATCACCACAATGACAAAGAGCTTGTGATGTCAGCAGCAGGACGACAAATGAGGGGCCTTAATAATTGAAAATGAGGGTGACCGTCCAATTTGCTGCGGATATGTATACATGTCAGGAAATTAATGAATCCTTTTGTTTTCCTCGAATGATCCTTCAGAGTCGAGTTCAGTTTCTGCTTTGATCACTCCAACATTATTCTAGAGGCAACCTTCAACCTCATTTCATGGAATATGGTGAAGAGGATGGTTTTACGGAAATCTATGTCAACGTCTCACTAGAAAGGTTCACGGCTGAGTGCCAAGCATGATTTAAAAGTAAAAGCCTGGAGGCCAGAGAACTGGAATAAAAGTCAAGAAAGACTAAGGAATCACTCATCAACATTGGGATGAAAAGCTTTTCCAGTCAAATCAAGGGCAAGCATACTTATAGATACACTACATGGATTTCCTGTCTCCATTGTGTCCAAAAAACACAGTTTCACTGGTACGTTCACAACTGATGGGCAGTTTCATAGAGCTGAAACAGCATGTGTGAATATTTTTAAAGAAAACTCTGGAAAAGATCTTTAAAGGAAAAACATTTTCATTGTGGTGCTGAAAAAGTAATTGGATCATTCAATTCTCTAATTAATAGAAAGTTGATTGACAAAAATTTGGATACAGTAATAAATTAGGTAATTTATAAAGCAAAAAGGCAAACAATTGCACATTACAGCTACTCAAATGTGAGCTGCTTTTTTAGTTTTATATGATAAAACATTGAATAGTTTTTAGTGAAGATATGAATCTGAAACACCACCTTTGACTGTGGTGGGCATTTCCCCCATTTTCTGCATGAACAATTGTATCACTAGGAAAAAAAGAATCAATAGCCCCAGTGACTGCAACAGCAAAATGAGATGCTCCAGTAATCCAACCTATTGCCTCCATGTAATTTACCAACAAGGTAGCAAAACAAACTCACACGTGTAAAATGTGTTTTTCATACATACCACATGAAAGACTCCACTGGTCCTACTCAATTCCACAGAGTTGTCGGATCAATATAAATCTGCCCCTTTAGATTCTTCCTATTTTGAACTGTATTTCCACATTCCTCACGCGTCTAGAGTACCAACAAACCAACCAGGCCGATAACAGCTGGTACAGGTGAGTGGATGATAAGGGAGGGAGGAGGGAAGGGAGAGAGAGAGAGAGAGGTGGAGGTAGATGGTTGGAGATACATAGAGAGGAGGAGGAAGAGGAGAAAGATGGAGTGGGTGGGGCTCTATACATCACCACCAAAAACTAAACAGATTTTAGAGTTTAAAGATTTAAACTTCCTGTAATGTTGTGCTTGAATATTTTTATATTACTTAGAGGACACATCAACATTAAACTGAGAACATCTCACTGTATATGCCTCAGACAAATACTTTAAATTTAACATAGAAACTACATGTCTAACCTGGTGATTATAATCCTGACCTCAATATTGACTTCAGAACAAGGTGCTAATCCTAAAAAAATGTTTTACCTAGTCACAAAGTGCACGTGTATGTGTTTATTTTGTTCAAGTGTGTTAAGGTGTGCACCCGCGTGACCCGACGTCACAACCTACTCAGTATCACCGCGCATGCGCATTTCAAACAGCGGCTCCGTCAGTAAGACATGTTGGAGTGTTGCTGCAGCTCCTCGGTTTCCTCCAGCACCTAAGATCCAGCTCAGACTCTCTGTGCTGTTCTTACCGTTTGTCTACTGGTTATTCTGCGACCCGTTGTCTTCTGAATGCAAAGGTTCGTAACGTTTACAAAGCTACCTATAAGCTACCTGTAAGCTACCTATAAGCTACCTGTCAGCTACCTATAAGCTACCTATAAGCTACCTGTAAGCTACCTATAAGCTAC